CTCTCAATACTTTCTCTCCATGATGATATGCAGTGTATCTTCAGCTCCGAAAAGCATTTTTTTTTTTAAAAAGGAAATTGAACTCTGTACAGCTCTTCTGCTAAAGCATGTCTTTTAACTTTAGAACTAAATGTGTGTGTAGGGAGAGGAGGGTTCCTATGCAGTCTGCATTTTTTTCCCCAGCAGTATCAATTGGATAGATAAAGGGAGACCTGCCCCAGAATATTGCGTAGGCTGGAGGTTAGAATATTGTATCTTGAAGTACCTGCTGGGGATGAATAAGGAATTTGAATCTGCCCTAATCACTGGGGTGATCTACTTTCACCTCTGCTTAACCTAACTCTCTCAATTCCTTTTCAAACAAATGACCAAACGTGAGAGGCTTTAATCCAAAGTTAATGATGTCCTGACGATACGGGCATTTGTTTTTCTTCTTTTACTGTGGTGGAATTGCTCATTAGTTTTTAATGAAAGCTGGGTGTGGATGAGGATGAGGACTATAGAGCTGAAAGTCAATACAAAATAAGAGAAATGTACAGGTTTACGAGAAGGAGCTAGGATTATTAGCAGAAGCTAACTGTGGCAGGTTGCTTACACTGAGTTGCTAAGGCTGCATCTGGAAAACCACACACAAATACATACCAAATGTATAATTTTCCCTTTGTTTGTCTTAAAACTCTGAATCTGGATTTTGATGTCATGATTCATGTCTTTGTGCATGAGGCTGGCATTTCTGCATTGCACTGTGCATAAGCTTAAAATTTGGAACAAATTAGAAATTGTTGCTAAGGCAGAGTGAAATGTCCCATTATCAGAAGGTATTTCAGACAGAGAGGATGTTGCTCTTTTGTTCTATTATTTGCAGCCAGCCATCAGGTGATCTGTAGGTGAAGTTTAAAGAATTGTTTTGACAGATAAAATAAAAAATATTTATCAGTCTTGGATGCTACACAGGCCATTGCTTTCTTTTTGTATTATGCACTGGTCATTCTCCTGAGGTGCTTTAAACTGCTGTTTAAAGAGCAATTAGTAACAATGAGTTATCCTCAAACTTGATGGCTTGAGGGACACACTGCTAGACTTGCCTGTTTTCCACTTTTCTTCATGGAAAAAGGAAAAGTGACTATGAGTGGAGTAGAATTCAATCTGCATTTAAGAAGTGGATTTATTTTCCAGAGATATTTTTCCTAGTGCATTCCTGATGTGCTGCTAGCTGCTACTTGTGCATTAATATTTGTAATGTGCTTGAGATTTTCATAGTCATTCTGACTCTTCCTACTTGCACTGATGTCTCTAATTCATGCATAGTGAAAAATGGTTATATATTGTCCTGGTTTCGGCAGGGATAGAGTTAATTTCCATCCTAGTAGCTGGTACTGTGTTTTGGATTTAGGATGAGAACAAAGTTCATAACGCACCCGTGTTTTAGTTGTTGCTAGGTAATGCTTACACTAGCCAAGGACTTTTTAGTTTTCCATGCTCTACTGACTGAGAAGGCTGCAGGTGCACAAGAAGCTGGGAGGGGGCACAGCCAAACTGGTCAAAGGGACATTCCATACCATGTGACGTCACGCTCAGTACATAAACTGGGGAAAGCTGGCCGGGGGGGCCCGCTGCTCGGGGACTGGCTGGGCATCAGTCGGCGGGTGGTGAGCAATTGTACTGTGCATCACTTGCTTTGTGTATTATTATTATTATTATCATATTATTATTATTATCATTTTATTTCAATTATTAAACTGTTTTTATCTCAACCCATGAGTTTTTCTCACCTGTGCTCTTCCAATTCTCTCCCCCATCCCACCGGGTGGGGGGGAGTGAGCGAGCAGCTGCGTGGTGCTCAGTTGCCAACTGAGGTTAAACCACGACATATGTAGATGAGGAAATATTTTTACTGAGGAAAATGTGATCTTAACTTTTTGAGAGGCTGATTTAGAAAATCATCAAGGAACGGTGACTGCTCTGTGAAACATCAGATATGGATCTGGCTGGTAAATGTACGGATGGTTGTTATTAATTCATATTAATGATCTTTATAATTTCTGAATGACATCTTTGGGAGACAAAATATATTCAGTGTGTAAGAAATCTCATCTTTTCCCACACAATATCACTTAAAAGGAACATGCCTGAATATGAACTTTCATATAAGGAGAATGAAAAAAACAGTGTAATTTAAGAGAAGTGCAAACAGTTAAATCAACAGTTTCTTTTGTTTTTCTATTTCTTTTTGTTTTGAACAAATCCCATTTTCAAAAATTATTGTTTTTTACCTCACTCTGATATCAGTGAGAGAGAAGTACTGTACAATTACTGGTTACAATGTTTTGGCTTTTTTTCTCCTTCATTGTTTAATTTGTTCTATACCTGCTGTGAAATTTCAAAGATAGAAATTGCCTATATCTGCGTGGTTTTGTGATTTCCATAATCAATGAAATCCCAGTGTTACACTAAAAACCTTTCAGGAAGGCATCAATATCCATCACTTCAGAACTAGTCTCTTACCTCCTGTTCAATCACTGTGGCTCTTGAACGAAACATTCTGATCACCTCTTGAAAATCCTTGTTTTAAAAGTGCCCATGTTATTGGCCAGTTTGAGCCTGCTGCTCCCTCTCTTACCAGTCCTTTGCCATTTTCATGAATTATAATCAGAACGTTAGTATAAAGTTTATTTTTAAACTATTCTGGCTTCAAATATTAAAAATATTCCTGATTCATAAGAACTATCTACAAGGAATTCCTTGAAGTCTTTCTGATAAATTATGTGTTTTGGTTAAATATGTCATTACTGGCAGAAAAGTAACCACAATTAGAACAAATACTCAGATCTTAGATTTAGAGTGATGTTTATTCAAGGTCATTACTATTTTTTGCACAAGGAAGGCAAATTACGGGAGAGGTCAGTAATTGCATTACAATATATACATACTAAGCAAGTGAAAACGCTTACATGGGGAATTTCAAAGAACCTTTTGAAAGTAAGGTGTTAAACCAGAACACACTTTTAAAAGAGTAAACTTAAAATTTGTTTTCATTCAGTCTCTGAGAAATGCACAGTTCATCACACACATTAAATATTATTTCCATTACTTAAATTTTATATGAAAATATTACAATCTGAGCCTAAATGAATTAAAAATGAAATCAATTAACAGTAATTTTTGCAAATATTTTTAATTTATAATAGCTTGTAATAATAAAGGTGTGTTTTTTCTTAGACTGTGCTCTGATTGAGAAAGAGAGGTGATCAATGCTCAAATGAGTGTGCGTTGAGGCCTGCTAGGGAGCAGCATCAGAAAGTGCTGTGGATAATCCAGATATTTGAATCATATGAGCATCTAAAACTTGATTAATTCCTCCCAAGACTGACATGTAAAATATTATAAAAATATGTATTCTCAGCCTGATAAAGAACATAAAAGACAAGACTGAACTGGAATATACAACTTTTCAGGTAAAATGAATGGTAAATAAAATATTACTGTAAATGATATCATGATTTGAAAATTCCAGTGATGACTAGGGAATCAAAGTATGGTCCTTATTCATGTTCACTAGTTGACACTGCTTTGTGAAAACAGGATTATCAGGCTTGATAAAAGTTTCACTTGTAAAGTGAAACCATTTGATATTTTGAAATTCAAAATTATGCTTCTTGAATTTTGTTTCATACATTGAAATATAAATATATTTAAAATATATTGACACACACACAAAACCCCAAACCACTTTTAAAATGTTTGGAATACTTTTTCAGCTTCATATTAAAAAAAAATTGAATAAGCCTGAAACTCTTTCTTTTTAACGTTTGGAACTGAAAGTGAACTGCAACTGCCTTTAGTCATGGAGCAGTGCAGACAAGTTTTTCATCCAGACTCATCTCAGCTTTGCTTTTTAAGGAAATGTAATCTTAGTGTGCTACCAGTTGACCAGAGAGGAGCTCAAAGGTACTGGTCTGTTGTGAGGATGGCATGGCCAATGCTTTTAGGTGTGAAAACTGTAATATAAAGCTCTTGCGATTGCATATCTAGCAGGCTGTATTTGGAGTCTAATACACAGAACCCAAGCATCAGCAGAAAATCAAAACCATTTGTTCCTTCACTGACTTTCCTATATACAAGCAGCAAATAAAAAGAATTTTTTAAACAACATGAAAATACTCTACTAAGTTTGCATAGTTAAATAATTAAAAGTGAAGAATGAAAGAAAAAAGAGGTAAAGTATATAGAAAAGAAAGAAATTTTATGGTGCACATATGTCTACATTAACCTGTCAAAACTACGGTAGAATAACGCTTCTAATAGTCCTATCTATTAATATGCATCCAGGAAGTTGGAGTATTCAGGCTGGGCATGGAAGTTCAGCTTTGCTTTCTCATACTACTGTGTAATGTGTGGTCAGAATCCACTCAATAAAACATGCTTATAGGAAAATAACTTGAAGTGAAAACATGGTATTGCATTAAGCAGCTTTGGATAAAGCTGAAACTTTCAGAAAATTTTACAACTTTTTTTAAACTTCCACAATTCCTTAGGCAAGGTTTACCTAAATTAGTGATAGATATTAATATAAAGTAGGGAGATTTTTTTTCCCAAAGTAAGTGAATGACACGAATGTTTAAACACGATATGATGTTAAAGTTTGATGGGGAATTCAGGTTTTAAGACATTAATCTATTTGCAAAGGTACCCTCTTCATTGGCAGTGGGACATTCTACTTTGAGTGTTGTGGAGTGTATTTTTCATGATAAAAGGTATGTTGAATATTGTGGTGTTTGTAAGCAGGTCATTTTTCAGCATCTGCTTTTCAATAATGGTTTGCAATGAGAATGATTACAGTAGCTTCATGTCACGGTGGAACATCACGATTGATGTTATATCAAGGAGAACATGGAATCTCCTAATGACTTTAATAGTGTCTATTTCTTTGTGGAATTTCTTTTCGTTTTCTTAAAACAACGGGAACATTACTGATTGTATAACCTTATCCCCTGTCTCAGGTCTCCTAGAAACCCTGAACAGAAGATCATTAAACGAGTGATTGCTCTTGAAGGAGACATTATCAAGTAAGTATTTTAAGCCTTAGTCTCTGAGTCTTTATAGGAATAGTGCAGCTTTTCAGTGGATTTTAAATCAGTATCCTAGACAACAAGAACTTTCTAGTATTTTCTTTCTATTTATTCTTAACAGGGATGTCAGCATTATACCTGTCTCCTTTTTAATGAGAGGAGAAATGCTACACAAAACTGCTCACTCTCTCATGAAAGGTACATGGGTGCAAATAATGCTTGTTTCTTAGAATATCTCTGTCACATATCAAGGCAGGTAATTGTGCAGCATTTTTCAGTAAGATTATAGGGCTGTAATTTTTCATTTAGAGAGTCCAGCTGCTGTTTCACACTGTGGTTACAAATAAAAGTAGGGTTTTTTTAGGGTTGGGTTTTTAAATTTGTTTCAGTTTTTTGTTTTTGTTTTTAATTTATTTTATTTTATTTTTGAGACAAAGAACCCTCATAGATGACTGCCTTCACTGCAGTGTATAGGGAACTGCAGGGAACATGGTGGAACTGACTTGGGGAAAATTATTCTATCAGAAAAAAATTGCAGCAAGAGTAGACTCTAGAGTACTTCAAGACTTGGTTTACTCTGACAGATAGACCTTCCTACTGGGGCTGGTTGGAAATAAATTACTAGTAGATGTAAATCAAAAGTTTTTGTGGGAACAGTATTATTTTGATGAAAATGCTTATTTGAAAGGGTTTCTTTTTCCCAGGTACAGAATAGAATTGGCATAGAACTGGGAAGGTAAATCCCTAGTTTCCCACACTAAGATATGAATGACCCTGGGAATTCTCGGACAATATGGCAGACTGAGACTCAATTCATTTAGGTAATGATTCTTGCTCTGGTGTAGTGAATACTTAAGAAGTACTTGGCAGCTGCGGTTCAAATAAAGGATTTGAGTGTGGTCTCAATGAGCCCTAGTTAATAGCAGCACTGGTGGTCTTTTGGGCACTATGGAATATGTGTGTATCTTTTTTTTTCCCCTCTTGCAGTTGTTATAATTTCTGTTTTATTGAAAAATTCCAAATCATCTCAGTTTGAGAAATGAAAATAAATTCTGACATTTCTTTTGAAGCAAAACATCTGAAATAACAGACACTAAGAAGGTAATCTGATGTCCAAAAACTGTGGACATCTACAGCTAAAACTAGCTATCACTTTAAAGAACTAAAACCATAGGAGTAGTGTGTGCTACTGAGTGATACCTTTTATAGAACTATGTCCTTAAGAAGGTACTTATTCCTTGATGTAGTTGATATTACTGCTATAATTCATATAAGTGATAAGACTGGTATTCATGATTCAGTGTTCCTTATTAATTTCTGTAGCAATGTCAAAAAGAGATAGCAATATAAGGCAGCTTCAAGTGTTACTTTTCCCTGTTCTATATTATTAACATATTTGTCTGAATTTTTGAAACTGAATGTAGTTTTTGATAATACAAAAGACATTTAATAACTTAAATTCCAGCTGTAGGAAATTAATTATGCTGTACATTCAAATGCCTTAAGACTCTGAACTTTTCATTAACTTCTGTGGGTGTTCTTGGCCAAATGGACAAAGGTGTGGGGCTTAATAGCTGTGAGAGTGTGTGCAGAATACTGATGAGCCTGCATGTTAGTGAATCACTCATGGGTACAGAAGACTGTACAATGATCCTCGTTTGTCTTTGGTAAAACAGGTTAGATTATTTTATTGATAGAAATATTAATCTCAGTAATTCAGATGTGCATTTTTTCTATTTGAACGCATGAAAATTGTTCCTGAGCCTTTTGCTTTAACTGTAGAAACTAGTTTTTAGCTAAAGAATAAATTATTGGACTACTATAACTTGTTAAGTTTTTATTACATATTATTATCCCTTAATTGTGTATATGTAGGAAATGTAAGTAATACTTGCCACTTTACATAGCACTAGGGTAAAGCAAAAGCTTAGATAAGAAGGTAAAACAGCAAAGGTGGCAAGATTTTTCTAAAATATGTATTATTTTTGTAATGATACTGCAAGCATGTATGTGACTATTTGTGACTGAAACAGACAACTGGTAACTGAAAGGATGTGTAGAAAACAAAAATAGAAGATTTAAACTCCTATTTGATATCTGAAGACAGTCTTTATTACAAACCAACAGGAATTGGTTTTGATATCTTAAAATTTTATGTCTATAGATTTTTATATATTGAATTATTCCTGATCAGCATACAGTGATGCTCTGAATGAAACTGAAAGTAACATGGATCATGTACAAAAATGTATCCAAAAGTATGGAACTCTTCCCTATTGTTCTGGCTCTTTTTTGATATGGATGAACATGATGCAAAACTAATATATACTGACCTTAGAGGAACATCTGAACATCCTTGTTCCTAATATCAAGTCTTTGAAGTGGAGTATATATGCCTGCATGCTAAAAAACCCACTTCTTTCAGCCTTTTGCTGCTCCATTGATCAATCAGAATTCCTTCTTGCTGAGAAAACATCCAGTCTCACTGCAGAGCAGTTATTTCAGTTCCAGGGTACAGAAAAGTGGGCATCATCAGTTAGATATGGTGGGGTTCTAGCACTTGTGGGGCTGTTTCTGGGTACAATGGTTTTGCGGGGAGGCGGTGGTTATAGTTGTGTTGTGCTGGACATTTTATCTGGAAGGTTAGTGCAATGTACAAAGTCTATCAGTTGCTCTGCAAATTTTGCTTGGTGTCACGTGACAGAATTAATTAATACACACTTTCAATGATGAGTCTTCCAGTCTTCCATTGTGAAGAAAGGTTTGCAAATAATTGTGAGTTGGAAGGTGTTTTCATTTAGTGCTCCATGAGATAGATGATCGACAATATCGTCTGTGAGTCTGTAGTTATGCTTTCATAGATGAATGAATTATCTTTATTCAATCTATTTGGTGCATGGTTAGGGATAATTTGTCACAAGAATGCTGTGTTTTCTCATGTTATCAATGAACATAAGTTAGTTAGCATTTTACTATTTGTTAATTACTGAAAGTAATGAAAGATCGAATAGGCAGAACCATTAGTACCATAGGAAAGGTTCCTTATGTTTTGACTTGAGTCCAGATGTTATGACTCCACAGCAGAAAAATCCTGTTTTTCAGTTCTTCATTTCTAGAAGCATTAAATAAGATAAAAATTGTGACATTTTGAAAATAATAATGACTGACTTCTCGTTTTTGAAAAGGAATGTAGGCGAGAGGTTCATTTCGACCTTTCATTTTGTATTTTTCAGGTAGTCAGACATTATGGACTACATAATACTTCACCTTTTGAAATATGCTTTGAGGGATTGAAAAATGCTACAAACTCACTGAATAAAAATTCTGGCATTTCAATTTTCTGTTCTTGTTTCCAGTCTAGTTGGTAGTCCAGGTGAAATGAGTTTGGTAGTGTCTTGTAAATCCCCAGAAACATGTAGTACATGCCACAAACCTATAACAGATAATTTAATTTGGATAAGCTAGTAGAACTTCCTCCTCAAAAGAATTTAAAGAATAGACAGAAAATCACCATTTATCCCTTGAGAATGAATCTGTAGGTCAGCTTGTATATATACAATATTGCAAAGTGTAGCTCCCATAGATCAGGTTTTGTTTTGTCTTCCATGGATTCACAGAAGAATTAACTTTAAGTAGGAAATCATTACAATGGTTCCTGAAGACTGTTTAAATGATAATTCTTCCAAAGGAAGCCTTCTTTTAAAAGTCAATATAATCTAATTTGTTAAAAATTAATGTTGGTATTATGAAACACTTTGAATAACTTGAGATTGAACTTATTAAAACTCATTTATCTTAAATGCATTAGTGGAAATTCAAAAATCTATAGCAATCTATCACAGATGAGTTATGGTATGGTTTCAGTAACACAAATAAATGAAGGTTTATGCAAAGTAAACCAAAACTGGGATTAAACTAGTAACATTTAAAATTAAGTCTGTTCAGTAACTTGCTGAACTAATTTGTTTTCCTTCTGTCTGTCACAGTTGCACAGGTCTGCAGGAGCTTGGTGTGCCAATTCTGTTTCTTTTGTATAATTGTTTGCTTCTTAATGCTGTACCTGATTTAAGAATGATTTGTGAGCCCCTAGGAAGAGTAATTTTAAAAAGCTTTGTCCAGGGATATTGTTAGGCTATTTAGGACTCAGTGTTCTGAGGACCAAGTGGTTCAGCAAAATGATGTTGCATTTAAGTGTTGCATCTTACAAAACTGCTCTGAAAATGTGAATAAGGAAATACTCCTTGTCTCTCAGAGCGTGACAATGCAGAGATAGACCATTATATTATTAGGCTGTAGGTCTAAACCAAGCTCCAGTAACTTTTCAACTTTCACTACAAGGTCCATCATTAAATTGTAGAAGCTATTGCCGCAGAATGTTAGGAAGGACAGAGATATAAAGGGGTTCGAAAAAGGAGTGGAGAATAAATAGAAATAAAGCCCGTCAGCAGCTATTAAATGCAGCAATCACAGTATAACTTCATGTACTCCTGTTGTCAAGTTCATGCAGGTTGTTATATTTCTTCCATCAAAGATGCCATACTGCCTTAAAATATAACCAAAATCTGGTCATTCTGTCCACTTGTTGGAGAACCCTTTCAGCTTCAAACAAACTGTTCACTACTCCATGCTGGTGTTCGGTTGTATTTTTATCATCAGAGAGTAGGTGGTGTCCAGTATCCTTTCAGCATGAAAAAGACAATCAACAAGCTTTCTTACTGGTTTTTTTTCGCTGAACTAGCTCAATTTCATTGGATAGTTATGGCTGCTATTTGTTTTCACTGAGGACCAAGGATCGTTGTCCAACAAAACAGCTGTCTTCATGCAGAGACTCTACTACTTGATAGCAACTTGTGTTAGATTATACCACAAAATTACTGCCTGCCTCTAGGAAGCAGAATAGCCTTCAGCATAACTCAGACTTTGCCAGTGTTGTGGCACAAGAATGTCTCTATAGGTAACATCTTCACGGCAACTACCTGGCAGGAATTGCATCCAGA